CCTGTATCTACCCCTACTGCCCCCAAAGGAGACAATTATCTGTAAATTAACACACTTGCATGTCTCAAACACAGCCAAAATAGTAACTATTAAAATGAGCAAGTATTCACTTACCGTAGATATTCACAATAGGAAAACCAACCAACCAACCAACCAAGCAGGGCTGGCAAACAACATTTGGTAAATGTTACACCAGATAAAAATGCAGCTTTGGTGTCCTCTCGTTAGTGCACATACGACCAGAAGGGGAAAATCCATTAAAAAGGGAATGGGAATCATAGAATCATGTCATAGAATGGTTTGGGTTGGAAGCGACCTTAAAGATTATTTAGTTCCAACCCCCCTGCCATGGGCAGGGACACCTTTCACTAGACCAGGTTGCTCAAGGCCCCGTCCAACCTGGACTTGAACACTGCCAGGGAAGGGGCAGCCACAGCTTCTCTGGGCATCCTGTGTCAGTGTCTCACCACCTTCGCAGTGAAGAGCTTCTTCCTAGTATCTAATCTAAATGTCCCCTCTTCCAGTTTAAAGCCATTTCCCCTTATATCACTACTTGCTTTTAGAAGAAGTTCCTCTACAGCTTGCTTGAAAGTGGGACAGAGAAGACTTCTTCATGTTGGTAACATGCTGGTTTTTCACCCCATACAAGAAGATGAAAGCATACACTCAGCCAATGTTGTTCCACCTATGTTTCCTTCACCTCAGGGGGTGTGAATCAATGATCACCACCCAGGGGAGGGCTCATAGGCTAATACAGGAGCTGTTGCTTTTATGAATAAATGAACCAGCGAATGGAACATGGGCTGAGTCTGCTCTGTCAACACAAGCCCTTCAGCATTTTAAAGACTACTACACCCCAAGTACTTCACCCATGACTGATGCTTCTGCTATTCAGAAACACTCAGCAGAGGTATGCTCTTGATTCCAAGCTTACCCATCCAAAGGATTCAGAGACGTAGCCTGGAATAGTAGGGTTGATACCAGATGGGTGTCAGACTTGTGTGAGAGTTGCATCTTTGCAACTACTGTAGTGAAAGGTTTTACTTTAGTAACAGGATCATTCCTTTAGGAAAGAATACTAATTCTAGAATACATTCATTAAGATCCAGGTTAAACCAGACTGGTTTTACTCAATTCTTTAACAGTGGGGATGAATCATTTTCATACAGTTTTATGCCACTGCCTTATAAAACAGAAAGAAAAACACGGCAGCACAGACTTCTTTCCTCTCTACTCTCTTGACAGAAAGCCTATGTCGTGACAGGAAATCCTATAGGGTGTAAGAGTATTTCACTACTTGTAAGAGTCACAAGAGAAAGCACATGAGAATTTGCCAAGTATAAACAAGAGGAATTATCCCAATAATTACACTAAATCAAAACTTGAATGCCCTTAAGAGGTGAACACTGTACCCCCTTCTCTGAAATACGGAGTTTTCTGCATGTGGTTGTAGAAGTAGCTGCAGTTGCAGGACTCCTCTTGTTAACAATTTATAACAAAAAAAGCCTATTTTAGAGGTGTGTCATCCTCACCTAATTCCACTCAGCATACTATACATACTGCAAAGGCCACAAACCACCTTCAGTTGAGTGGGGTTTGTTTTAAAGAAAAAGGTTTTAATGGTTGTAAAAACCTTACACTTTACCCCTTTCAAAAGGGATATGCCTTTTGGTGTGCCAGATGCTGGTTAGCATCAGCTGAGGGAACCTACTAAGTGGTGCTGATGCTTGGTTCAAGTATCTGAATCAGCAGTTCTGCTGTTATGGGAGAAGGAATGATACCTCTCATGATACCAAAGGAGCCAGTGGCTGGTGGGAGATGGGAAAGTATAGAGGATAACATACTTATTTGGATTTAAACTATTGGAAGCTTAAAGGAAGTTTAAAGGAAGTTTTGTTCTTAATTGGACAGTTGAATACATACCTCCGAAGGTCTTTCCACAAATTTCCAAGCGTGCTGCTTCTCCTGCACAGCTCAGAGCCTAGGATTGAGCAAGACTTGCCCTGCAACTACACCTCTTGTTGCCAGTACAAACTAATGACACAAACTGAAGAATATGGTCATTAGCAGTTACATGTAGTAGATGCAGCAAAACACAGTGAACTTCTTCAAAGTTTAAAGGTGGCACAAATGAACAAAACAGACGTCAATTATAACTGCTCAAAAATTAATGAGTTACCATCCTTGACTTCTTCTGACTGATGGTGTAACAATGCAAGAATTTGAAAGAATAACTAGAAACCAAACAAAAGACCGCCCAATCCCACCAGCTTTTGCAAGGCTTCCAAAGCAGAATGCTGACAAAAACCATACAGACATCCCACATGACTGACTTCAATCCTTGAAGTTGACAGTCTATTTATTCCTTTTTCCATTGCCACAAAATTTACACACGTACAGCTTACTCAGCAGCAAAATCTCTCAGGTGCATTGAATGAGCAGATGCCTGCAGGTTTGCTCTTCTTGGCATGACATACATGATAAATTACATTTAAATTTAGAATTGGCAAGTACAAATCCTATGGCTCTGTTTCAAACACTTCAGGATGTAAAACCAAACAACTTGGCACCAAGTTTAAAAATACATACAGCATATCTAGGAACTGATACTGTATGCACCGAACAACCTGAAGACAACTGCACCATATATGATTACAAACTGACCAGCCTAGCCGTAACCACTGTACCAGCTTACCTAAAAAGCAGGTCAGAGTGCCCTGTAATGTGGAACTGTGCATAGCAGCAAATTGTTAAAATACAGAAGGAACTCATAATTTTAAAGCAGTCTATTTGCATCTATTTTTATGACAGCTCAAGTGTGAAGGTGTTACTCCATGTCATTATTTATGGGAATGTAAAATGTATACGTGATTTCAAACAGGTAGAAGACTAGGAAAAACGTACTACATCTAGGAAGCTGGCTAAGGAACAACTCCTATCTTGAGATATTTTGCCCAGTCTTCCTCTGTTGGAAGGTGTTTTCCATGAAGGATCCTCACAGGAATGAGGCTTAAGAGTAAGTGAATAAGTGTGTGTATATATAGAAACTGAATACTGTGCTAAGCCCCTTCCTTCTTCCTCAGATTACAAGGCAAAAAACTTTAACCCACATGCAATTTTTTATGCTCTATTTATTTTAAAAGGTAGAAGGTTCATTATGTTGACTTGAAGGAGTTCTGAGCATGAACAAATGCTTCACAAGCTCTAGTGCTATGAAACTATTCAGTTACATCACATACCAATAGATTAAACTACTTCTGGACATTCATATTATAGCTATATATTTTACGTGGCAATTGTATGAGCAACAAGCATCCTACTGCTTTTGGCTACATAAATTCACTTGATGTTACGAGATGTTACACATTGTCCAAAGCCTACAGGACATCTATAGAAATAGCTTTTTTGGGAAGAAAGTGGAGGTAAGTCAAACGTATTAAAAAGAGCATAATACTGTTTTTAAATCTGTTGACTTCTGCAAAATACCTGTATTTATGTACACAAATGTCCTTTTAGAAAGATGTAGTCAGAAAGTAATAATTTGGCTTAATATTATTTATTACCTAATGCTACACAGAAGAGAGGCATCTGAAAACTGAGACTCTGACATCTAGTGGCTGCCATGCAAGATCTAACATTTACAAATACCCCTTAGGGTAGAAAGACTGCTACTAATAAATCACTCACGGGGCATCTGTAACTTGCCTGCTAGGTTCTTTTTCTCAGAAAATTTGCTAGTATGTTCACATTTGTCCTAATCCAGCTTTTTAAACATCATACACAACTTAAATTCTCTCAAGCAGAAGAATGAAGGTAATCTTTCTGTATGCAACATGTACATTTGTTCTTGTAGGCTGCATTGACACAAATGAAAGTTGACTGCTTATATGAAACTCTAAATATTAGAGTTTAGGAGAATATTGTAAGCTTTTATACTCTCACAACTACAAAATAAAATAGTATGCTGTCATGCAATACTTAGATGATCTGATGTGATCCAAACAGATATAAATTATATAACTTAATGCACTATTTTCTCCAAAATTCTTGCATCTATTCAGCTCTGATTACAGAAAATATATTGATCATAGCTGTACATACTCTTTAGCAACTCTGTTTTAACAAACTCTTACAGTGGCTATGACAAACTAATTTTGATGAGGTAGCATTTGAAAGAACCCTGTGTGAAGATGTTTTGAATTCTGATAAACCTTTTTTGTGCTTAGGCATTGGAAGACACTGTACACTTTATAATCAAAGGCTGGTGAAAGGGGAGAACCAAATGACTGTAAAAATTCAGATCTGGTGAAAACTGGTCCAATTCCACTCGCCTTGAAATCAATGGCATTGCATTATTTTACTCTTTCTTTTTTCCTTAAATAAAACTGAATGCATAATACATCCAGAGGCATGAATGCTTATCATCCTTAATATAAAGTCTCCTTGCTCCTACCTATCTCTCCAAAGTGGAAGGCAACCATTTAAGATTTTGGCCTTATTCACATATATCATCTGAGAGAAGTGCCAGGAATTGCATTTATAACGATGCTGAATTTAGCTAGAATTTATGATATGGGTCATGCTACAAATAAAACTGAAAGTTATAGTCCAACAGTTCCTTATTTAACATAAATGAAACACAATGAAGACTAACTGATTTTCGATAATCGTACATGAATTATAAAAGCATCTTTGGTTGTTTAATGTCTACTTTAAAATGGATATTAAGGAGTTGCAACAAAGCATAAGAGCAGCAGCCCTTCATCAGCAACACTACAGCTACATGTCCAAGCACTTCAAGAAGAATAATGAGGAAGTTAATCTCACAGGGAGAAAACAAAAGGCTGGATGTAATCCATCTACACATCTAGGACTTCAAAATACAAATTTCAAATTTTGGTGACAAGTAAAAAAAGCATAAATGTTTTCTTTGTTCTGTTATAATTCTGTATTAGGACAGATCCATGGAACTACCCTTTATAAAAATACAACATACTGCGTAAGTTTTACTTAGGGATTTAATTTATATACCACAAATACTGCTTTTAATATAAGTACAATATAATACAGTCTTACTTATGTAACTGCTGGTGTTCACTCTGGATCATGAACTGAATGGCATGCTGTGCTGTCAAAACTTTAATAAAATGGCCTCTAGTTAAACTTCTCCAAAGTATAAAATCATGCAAAATCTACATCCTATATGATACAACCAGTACAATAATTGAAGCCAATAGCCTAGAAACAGCCTGGACTATCTTCTGAGTTTGTTCTTCAAGTGTCCACAAGTCAGCCATCATTTTCTTTAGGCAGAAAGGAAGAATGTCTGTTTCGTCTGCAGAATCTCGTCACAAGCACTGAAACCAGCAACAGTGTGCACGGTTATCAGCTAACAAATCTTCATTACCTAGTGCAGTTCAGAACGCACATTTAGTCCATATTGACAGATCTGGGGTTAGGAAGTTTTACGTTTTCCTCCTGTGACTACTGGTCGTGCATATTCCACAAAATCATCTATAAGAACAGGCCACGCTCCTGAAGAGAAGTTAAGCAATTCAGAAATTAGTGTATCATTATCAGCAATAAATCTGTGCATACTCTAAACATAAAGTATCAGAAGTTCACTTTGACATTTCTGGCCCAGTCCAACTAGAACAAGCATGACATGATAAACGCTTGAAGAAAGTACCTTAAAAATTAAACATTTGAATCTGTTCTTGCAGTAATAGTTCTTAGTACAAATAAAATGTATTTAAAGCATAAAAATCCACACTACAAAGTTTATAAACATTAGCTGATGGCAAAACCATGGCATCCCTATCCAAGCCATTTACAGCTTGGGAAATATTTCTGTACACAGAAATATTCCAAAACAGGACTTGCAGGATTAGTAACAAGAATGTAAATTGTTTTTAGGCTGGTAAAAAAACCCAGTGCTTATGTAGATATTCTTGTATTAAAAAAAAAAGTTTCACTGAGGCTCCTGTAGTATGACAGATTCAAATAGCATGTGCTATCTCATGGTGTGACTATCTTCTATTTACATATTACAGCAAACTAGTTAATCTTCTTATCATTACTGTTTTGGCAACAAGAATAACACTATAATTGCAGCTAAACCTCTAAGGGTAAACAAATTAAGACAGAAGATAGCAGCATCTTCTGTCTTCTGATAATTTAAAGCAAAATTTTTATTCTGCTGCACCAACTTTTGAAGATATTCAAGTACTGCTTACCTTCTTCATCATAGTTGGACATATCATCTGCAATCATATTTCCAAAATCTAACAAAAGATTCCAAGTATCTTTTGGAATTGATCTTTTATGATGTTCCTATAAAAGAGAAAAAATATTGCTCAATCCAAGCTACTTTCAAATTCCACAGTAGTTTATATTGACATAGACAGAAATGTTTCACAAGTATTTTTTCTTCTTCTTGCTCACCATTTATTTTATTTTTTGTAATAAAGTTCACAGCTTCCAAAGAAAGCTACAAAATAAAATGCAACTAAAGAAAGAAAAAAAACCTAAATTCTTTAATAGTTGTTTTATTTTCTCTGTTCTGCTTTTAGGGTGTTTCTAACTTACTATGGAAAAGGATAAACCAATTGCATTTATACTTCTAATGACATCTATTCCAGGTTCTGAAACTGTAGCCATGGGTTAGCATTCTACCATTTAAACTTAAGCCCTTTTTTCCTTACTGCTTCTTACTTATGCTTACCCAGCCTCTCCTTCAATTTATTGGTTACAGTTGCACCTATGCTCTTCTCACTCACTCCCAGACTGCCTTCCAGATCCATCATATATATCACAAGAATGCACTACCAGCAATTGCTCCACTTCTGCCTAGTCTCCTTTTTCCCCAGTCTGTCCTATTTTCCACTACCACCTCCCTGTCTGACTTAGGATATACTCTTTCTGCACCACCCCATTCACAAGTACCAGTTGCCACTGTGGCTGGTTTTGAGCAGCACTCCAAAAAACTTCAGTCCTAGTCAGAATTCATTCAGCTTTTATAGTTAGCACTCCCAAGAAGAGAGAGCGTGTGGGGAAACACAACTACTAAGCAGTTGTGAGCAATAGCATCAAGTCAGACTATTCACATATTCCTTCATCTGTTGATACTGCTATATCACCTGTAGATAGCAGCTATTTAACAGGGAATTAAATTTCAACACCTAGTTCTGCTTTGCAGTAAAAAATTGCAAGTACATGAAAAGACGTGTTTGGTGAAGGGTTGAGGTTTTATCTGTTTGTGGTTTTGGTTTTGGATTGTGGGGTGGGTTTTCTAGTTGGTTGTTTTTTAAGCAGTAATACTCTAAAGTGTGGAGAGGAACAAATCTAATTTGAAAAATCGGGAACTTGATCAAAATGAGGTTGATGTCATTTCTTTTAAAGTAAACATTCAGGTTAAATATCTGTAGCAAAATTAAGACACTTCATACCAGATCATCTAGATTGAAGCTGAGATCATCACCTGCTTGAAGCAGAGATCTGCAGAACTGTCTGTAGTAACAAACTTGATCACAAAGCCCAGTGGGAAAAAAACCAGTGAGACTTTTCTTCAGTTATATCTATAGATCTGAATAGGAATATGTTAAGTATAGCAAGGAATTTAAGATGTGAAATGTTTTCACAAGTTCTTTTGCTTAAATTGGTACTTTATTCAATTAATTTAAAAAATCCTGTTCAAAAATTCTGAAAAAACTCCAGAAAATATTGCAAAAGGTGTACACTTCCCCTGTTAGGCACTGGTGGTTACTGAACAAAAGGCAGAAAGATTTCTTAATTCTCCTAAAGTACAGATAAGAAGATAAATTAAAAAACAAACAAGATAAATTATAAATTATGTAACATTATGGAGAGTCTTTGGGGTTTTTTGCAAGTACACAGGAATGCAAACATATAAATGTGAATGAATGAAGCAGGTCTTTAACAAGAATTTTTGCAATTTCTAAAGTTAATTTAAGCATCTTTTCTCCACTGCTCACAGAATTGCACTGGTAACAGAACACCGTCAACATCAGTCCACAAGTATTATCCAAAACATGAGTTGAAATAATTACTTAGGCAAGAACTTCCATTTAAAAAGTGTCAGGTTAAGTCAGTCATAACAGAATTTACACTAAAAAAAAAAAGACTGAGTTTATGCATTAATACCACAAAAGGCAGAGCATGGTAAAATACGTGGTTGACAATAATCACAGCAGTCTTGAGAATAAAGAAAACATAAGTTCAATCTACAGTCCTCCTTTCATGCAGAAGCTTTCATCAATAGGAGGATACAGGATCAAACAAGCAGAATGCTCTATTGTTCTGCTACACCTTTTTGCATTCTTCTCAGTTAGAAAATAAGATACAGAAGATTTAGTTTGGCTTCATTTAAGAATACTTTATATTGGTTTTCAAAAAGGAAGAAGTTTGAAGGGACTATTCAGAGATCCTTTTCCTTTATTGGAAATGCACAGTCCACAAGCCAGACTGCTGTGGACTAAGATAGTCAGGAAGGAATATGGTACATACTTACCAACAAAAATTTATTCCAAAGATCTAGAAATTTAAATCTTCCTGACAAGACTAAATTCCAATATGCAATTGCCATTTCTAGATCTGCAAAAGACAAGGCAACATGTAAATATTACAGCACATTTTATGCAATAACTCTTCTGGTTAAACAATTAATGCTACATCCAGTGTATTACAACACAAATGAATAGCATTCTTCTGGAATCAGTACAAAAATTATATGGAACTGTTTTCTACTCTCAGTGACCCAAAAGGCAGGAGACAAGCAGTAATGGTATAAACTGCATATTGAATATCAGAGTCATAAAGACTAGAATATTTTTGTCATCATCCAGCAGTGCCAAATCAAAGCTACTTTCAGTCTACAGAAACAAAGTAGTTATAACTCTATATACAAATAATAAAAATAGATATATGCACAAGCACAACAGATATTGATAAAACCCAAACATTTAAGTCTGCAGATGCCAATTCCTGTTAACTTACCACATTTTAGACACACATTGACTTTAAAGAGATTTTGAGGATACGAGGGGATAAAAAAGCCGCAACATTTGCCTTGGGCATGGTAATTACACCGCACCCCTTAGAGCAATAATTCTCTTCTTCTGGAATCATTCAAAAGACAAACACCTACATTCAATACTGAAAATATGAGCCCAAGAAAGCAGCCCTTATTCTGCACCACGATCAGTGATCTGAGAGCAGAGTTCAGCTCATGCATGCCAACAGGAGGATGCTGCACTGCCACACACTGAAGCAGAAAAGTAGGAGCAATATTAGATGCAGCATAAGGGTAGAAAGGATGTTTTTCTGAAGACCTATTTTCATTCTCAGCAGCTCACAATACCTAATGGCATCTGTGCCTGGTCCCATAGAGAGCAGCACTAAATGTACACATAGTGTTGTGCAAACACCAAATAAAGCACAGTCTGTCTTAACCACAACAAGATTTCTGTTTGTCCTTTCAGTGCAAAGCAAGTATAAACAAAATGTGAAACTTAACAGAAAGTACTGTTGTAGCAGGTAAGACAGAAGCTTGACCTCCACCTACAGGAAAGGAGCATGGTATTTTAAATTGTATATATCACATTACAAAACAAAGGATGCTCTGTCACCTGAAATCAAGTTTCAAGTCTGAAAGAGATGTTCCAGATTTTAACAGACCCAATTTCCTAGGGTCTGTATCATAGAGAGCTGGGGCCTAGACAAAGCACAATAGCTAAAATGTAGG